AGACACATGAGGAAGTAAGTTGGAAAATTATCTGATTTACAATCTTTACTTTATTTCGTTGAAATGGTTGGGTTAACATTCATCTGTTTTTTTGCCCTACTTTTCAAACATTGAATTAGGACGAACTACATTTGTATGTTTAATTACACAATATGATATTTTTAAGCGTTTTTATCAATTCTCGTTTCACCCATTTATCAATTTATATTCATCTTTCTGTCCATTTTTCATATCCTTCTTTGAGTAGCAAATCCAACCTATTTACTGCGTACCACCCCTTCAATCATCTGGCCGTCACGCTTACCAATGAATCAAGGTTCCCAGTCACCTCACCTTCCTCCACCCTCAAATCCTTCTCATGTTCGTCCTACTCTGCAAACTTATGGCATGCCAGAAGCTTCTAATTTGGCTTCAAGCCTTCCCGATTGTTCCTATTTCATTTCACCACCTTCTCTTGGAGTTCAGAAGGATCAGGTGCATGCTACATCGTGTCACTCATACTCTCATTCATCTTTACCTCTCACTCACCCTTCTCTTCCTCTTTACCCAACTTCTCTTAACTCTCCAATGCCCCTCAATTTTAATCCACATTCTTCGGCTTCCTATAATGATTGCCTCTCTCCACCTCCATCCTCTCTTCCTCCTCCCTGTTTTCAAACATCGACATTAGTTCCATATCCTTTCACGCCACTCCAAAATTGTGTTTCGAGGCCCACTCTTCCACCAGTCACCACACCGTTTATACCATATAGACAATCTCGGCCTTAGTCTTTCTTTATCCACCTCATGTCACTACTTGCCTTTCATCTATTATTTGAACTAAACCATCTCTTTATCATAGCTTATTAGCTCTAATCTATCCTTATATTCGATCCTTATTACTTCAGCCACCTTATATAGATTACTATAAACCAATCAGCATAAGTATTATAAATTAATCTATCATCTTGTATGCATTAACTAGTTATATTAGGATATATTGGTGATTATAAACTATCAACTTCATGTTTATTATTTTCATTCTTTCCTATGTACATTCGATTAAGTTCTCATATTTACATCCAATATGCACAGCTTTTGTTCTGCAACAACAAGGACAGACTTTCGGATGTTTAACTAATTTACACGTCTATTAATTTATGAACATAGGTTATGCATATAATTATTATAATGTTATCAAAGTTTCTGCTGAAGCTCAGAGTTATTTTTAAAATATTGTTTGGGAATCCCTGATTTCTCTCTTTTCATCCGTTATTTATTCGATAGGCACTAACTTCAAGAGACCGTCTCTTAAGTAACTATAAAATATATTAAGTTTTAGTTTGTGAGTAAAGAACTACTTACTCTTAAACTTCGAGACTTGCGCCTTTACAAAAGTGATCCCATTATAGCTCTATTAGAATTGGCTTTTTTATGAAATAATCTGTCTGAACTTGAGTTAACTTTCTACGGATACTTTCAGCAAATTATTAGTGAGATTAAGAACGAATGCAAATGCTAAGATGGCAAAAAACCTGCTATACCTTCGAAAACTTTTGAATTCTGTACTCAGGTGTGCAGCAAGGTTGAAACCCAGTGCAGCAAAGCAACACAAACGACTAACTTAAAGGCTTCCTTGTTTGTTTTAACTATTTTGAATACGTACGTACTTTTGGCTACTCTGATGTAGCTTTTTGCCGTAGCCCTCTCTTTTCTTATAGCATGTTTCTGCTGCCAGCATCAAGTCTTATTTGGAATTGGCCTTTGATGGATAGTTGGTCACTAAATGAACGAGCTACTAAAGGAAACTGAGTGATTTGCAGATATTAGTTGATGCCAGGCATGCATAATTATGTAAAGTAAGGAGTAATAAGGGTTAGAACGAGTATTAAATGTATCCGTCATAATTGTTAATAAACAGCAATTTCAGTCATTTTTCTACGTAGATTAAAAATAAAAATCCCCGCAACAATGTTATCTAAAGAGATTCATAAAAC